CTCAGCCCTATCGCTTTAACCCCCTAAGATACGAGTCAGCCCAATATTTTGTTTGAAGCTCGACTTGGACACCGTATCAGCCATGCATTGAACGGACGTTGCTCGCCGCCATGGCGGGCAATGAGTTACCGGCACCATTTTAAACATTTGGGACCAGATGTCGTCTTCTGTTCGGTCTGATATGGGCATGGTTAGCCATTTACCGACACCATCTTAATCATTTGGGACCAGATGTCGTCTTCTGTTCGGTCTGATATGGGCATGGTTAGCCATTTACCGACACCATCTTAATCATTTGGGACCAGATGTCGTCTTCTGTTCGGTCTGATATGGGCATGGTCAGCCATATGTAACTGGAAATAGACGCACCGCAAAATAAGCGCGCGCCGTATTCTCCAACAGTAAATAATAAGAGACACAACAAACAGTATGGGATTTGTCACGGGACGCACGACCGCTCCGGCTGTTGCTTGGCCTCCGTCGCCGCCGCCGCAAAACGCCTACGCTCAGCCAGACGTCCTGCCACCACACAGGCAGCCTCTGACTGACGTCACGTGACTTTACCTGCGCCTGGTCACCAGGGACTGTCGCCACAGCCGTATGAGCGGTGACACATCGCCTGGTGCACTCCACAGACCATTTAGGGGTTAACGTGCAGTAACGTAGCGTTGCAACGGGGTGTTCACTGTTTGTAACATCGAGTGCAGCCTTCGCATCGCCTCCGGACTAACATTTACAGGCTTTATGGATACATGGACGGTAAACGATGTTTTCCTCCCGTTCATCCCGGTTTCCGTACATTAAATATACTTTACCGAATTAGGTCCCTGTCTAATTCCGCTTGTGTGAAAACGGCCTGTTTGCTTCCAAATGCGTTTTGTTGTGCTCACAGGGTTCACTTTCTTAATAAACCACCACAATGAGCAGTCAGTTATTGAAAAGGCTTCGACAGCCGAACTTGAGCGCGTCAAAAAACGGACAGAAACATGTGTAATTCTCAACCGTGCTGCAAAACCCAGATATTTTAAAACTCGTCCCCAAGATAAAGTTTATTTATTTGAAAAATGCCTTGTGATTAAATGAAAATGAAAATGACGATGAATGATGAAATGAAAAAGATGCCTAAATGAAAAAAGTGCAGGTGCAAGTGCAATGCAGTGAAATGGGAAAATAGTCGCAAAATGCAAGGCATTGCTTCCTCGGAAGCAAAAGGATTTTTGAATCGACAAAAATAAGCGCTATTCCTTGGAAACTCCGGGACACAGGTAAAATGACCGAAATCCAGGAGAAATGAGGCTTTTGGGCAGGTTAGATCAGCCCTGTCGGGTGAGCCCCAAACGACTTTAGAAAAGAACACCCCTGGTAACAGTGTCACCAAAGGATTGTACTATAGTTGCCAGTGAGATGGGCTTCCTGACCTTCGAAAAGGACTCAACAAGCGCCTGCGCGCGACCAGCTCGACACCGAGAGGAGGCTGCCTACCTCGGTTGACCTAAGGTCGAGCTTAGCCATCCGTCACTATGACCCGGTTAGCAGTAAATTAAAAGCCGATCACCCCCGTAGCTTTTTTGGTGATGACCGACAGCAATTTCGGGCGTTACGGCGTGCTGCAGGGACGTTCAGCAGTATTTCAAATCCCGCTCCAGGTCTTCTGCACAGTCGAAACGGATGAATCTTCACCCCGGCTGCGGGTTGCATTCTGAATGGGCTGAGGGCCAATAGGTATTAATGCAATAGAAACACTGGTATTTATAAATTCCTGATAGATCTGGTATTTTGACCACTATTTACTGCAGTTGTTCTTGACCAGAGAATTAGAATGCCCTACTTTCCGACACGTTTTTTATGTCAAGTACATACCATTTGCGCTTTTAGCAAAAATTAAAACAAACGGTTCTAGGGAAACCCTCTGTGTCACGTGTTCAGAAAAATGGCAAACACGAATCGGAAATTTAGGATGCCCAAAATCCGAATGCATTTAAGGTACGGCTATAATAGGGGGCGTACAAATTCAACGGAGCCGACCATGCTGAGTGACAAGATCCTGGCCATCCACCGATGCATGCCAGATATGAAAATAAGCAAGCCTCACGACTTATTCTCAGATCACACCAAACAGAACAGACTTTCCCCGCCATGTCTTTGAGCACAATCGGAACAGTACCAACAACCAATTATAAGGACCAACACGCACACAGTCATCGTCGAACAGTGCTACAGTCAGGCATTTCTCTAACGCATGATAAACACACGAGGCAGCATAAAGGCAAGGGCGGATGTAGGACATTGGACGTAACCGGAGACCCCGGTTCAAGCTGCTTCAAGCGCTCGCTAATTGCCGCTAACCGAGGTGGCCTGCTGCCGGTGGCAGCGGTCGCTCTAAATGTCCGATGACGTCATACGACGGGATGAACCGCGCCGAGCAGTACGGCACGTGAAACTTTCGTCGCAAAGTTCTACCACTGATCTGGAATTTCACGATTGAATGGTGGGATCAGGACTGACAAGCACAGCTAAGCGTGGTCTCTGGTCCTAAAAATCCATCTTTCTAGAATATTCTGATAAAGCCTTTGAAACGTACTACGTGTAGCACAGGGTAAGGGAATTCTGTCGGCAAGGAAAGGTGTCTTCTGTAGTGTCTGGGCTCACCACCACACACAATCTTATTACAAGACCTTTACACAAGACTTCCTCTGAGTCGAGAGGTACAGTGCTTTGAGATGGCCCAGCCAACCCGTCAGACTGAGCCGTCTGCAGCTGACCAGACTGAGCTCACGACGCCTGACGTCCGTCGTCCGTGTCAGACTCATGACCTGGGGCTGCCGCCGAATGTTGGCTCTGAGCCACTCAGGGTCCCGACATTCTGATGCTTGCTGTCACTCCTGACAGCGGTCCCTGCAGTGCGATCACTGCCGACTACACCCGGCCATTTTGTGAGTGGGACCCTATCTCAACAATTACACTACATTGATTGTCATTGCCGGAGCTCCTGGTCGCATCATTGCTGCTGTTGATGGACACTAGACCTGTCATTGCTATTGAGGGATTCCCAAAATGCCAGGTGGACAGAACGACACCGTCGCCCACCCGGTTGATGACAGCGTGGGCGGCTGCCCAATCTGCCGCAGCTGCGGCGCACCCGCGAGCACCCGTAACAACGCACATATTGCGGCACCCGCATCCAGTTACAGTCCTCAGCTGTGGCCAGGAGATTAAAGTGAGTATCCCACCTTTTTCGTACTTTCACTTATTCGGTGTAATTCGCTTGTTGACTATTTCACTTTCTATATCAGACGTGTACGATTTAATCAGAAATACCAGTTTTCTCGAGCTTCTTCTGAATACCTCAGAATTTCGATTTAAAATGGCCGACCCGGCGGCAGAAATATCATTCGACTCCCTGCTCACCATTGAAAAAGTAATACGTTTAATTTGCCTTGCTTCTTCCAACGTGTGTCCTGTAATGTTTACAACATATTAATATGTCAAAATATTTGTGTACTGCATACTACGAAAGCTTGAAACATTCTGTTTGGACAAAGTCATATGCAGACATGAAGCTTTTATCCAGAGAATTCGACGAAGCGTTATGATATGGCTTTGATTTCTCCCCTATGGAATTTACCTCAGTCGCTCTTTTCGAGACACACTTTGGCTCTGAGCATGGAAGTATCACATGATCCATATAAAACCCTATAACAACATGATCCATGTTGCATCATGTATCCATGTGATGCACTGGTTCAAACTTGAGCTAGCCAACTTCTCGGTAACAGGCCTTGTCCGCTGGACCAATCACAAACGCCCTTTTATTCGCACCAATGGAGGTGCCACGGCGGTTGTCATGATGGTGGTGGCGGCTGCAGGGAAGAAGCATATTGTTACAAAGCGTTGACGTGATTCAGGCTAGAAAATAATTAAAACTGATACCTTTTTTATATCTTAACGGTGCTGCAGCGGCACTAACCAGTGGCGTTGTTAGATGTAACTAGTTCTGAGGTTTCACTAGAGTATGTTTTTTTTAAAAAATAAGCGCCAAATGCAGAACGCTCGCTTTAAGGAATAGACACGTTCGTAACGCCGAGTTAGGAACGTTCGATAACATTTATATTGGAGGCGGAAACAGTGCTGGTATTTTACAGCTCATACCTGTTTTAAGGTATCCCATGACCTAACACCTTCAAGTAGAATTATGCACAATTCGCCAATGCATCGTTACAATAGCAGATAGCGTCACTTGGGCGCAGCCACACTCCACCTATACAAGAAGGAATCGTGCCACATGTTTACCTACCCCTGCATTTGTAACGCCTTTTTTCTGGACTCAACTGATCCTGCACACATACCCATGCAGGCTGGGCCGCAACACGAAGACACGCCACGGTGCCGGTGCACCCGCATCCGCCTCCCTCTGCCACAACAACATTCACTTCCGCAACCCGCTGCTGTATATCCAAACGCGCCGAACGCGAGATCCCTGGCGACGGCACGGCATCCACTAGCTGCAAACAGCTGTCATTGAACACGAGGCATGCACCAAGCCAGCCTTGCCTGCCCGCGTCCACCGCGCGCTCTCAACCCAGAGAAGAGCTGACGCCACAGCGGGACCGCTCAGCGTTACTTACGGAGACGGACGGCCACCGCCCGCTCTCACCCGGAGAAGAGATGACGCCACAGCGTGACCGCTCAGCGTTACTTACGGAGATAGACGGCCACCACCCGCTCTCACCCAGAGGAGAGCTGACGCCACAGCGTGACCGCTCAGCGTTACTTACGGAGACAGACGGCCACCAGCTGCTCTCACCCAGAGAAGAGCTGACGCCACAGCGTGACCGCTCAGCGTTACTTACGGAGACAGAGGGCTACCAACCGCTCTTACCCAGAGAAGAGCTGACGCCACAGCGGGACCGCTCAGCGTTATTTACGGAGACAGAGGGCTACCAACCGCTCTCACCCAGAGAAGAGCTGACGCCACAGCAGGTCCGCTCAGCGTTACTTACGGAGACAGACGGCCAGGCAGAACAGGAGCGCCACCACCCGCAGCGATGCCATGTCCCTCTCGCGCTGCGCCGAACTGGCATCTGTCCATGCCCGGCCACCGAGCTGGAACGCCCCCCCCCCCCCCCTCCGCTCCCCTCGGCGCCGCCGGGCAGGCGAGGGGAGGGAGGGGGGGGGGGGGGCTGCTCGATCAGTGGTGATGACACGATCGGCCATGCTGGTATCGAGATCGACGCAGACAAGCGGCCGCCAACAGCGAAAGAGGCGCCGGATCTCGAGCAACCCAGGGCAGAGGCTGCACGTCGGGTAACGATGATTTGATGGGCACATCTGCTGCTCGATGCGTTGTATGGCGCATGCGCCCTTGGTAAAAATTATGTTCCATTTACTAACCGTGTCGACTGTACGCCGAAAAGTCTATGCCACCGTTTTGAGGTGCTCTGTGTGATCAGTCAGGGTGTCATCGTTGTAATGGTGTACCAAGGGCAAGGCGCACGTTCACGGTTTTCCAATGGAAACAAGGACACAGATATTGTCATCCATCCAAGCTAAGACTATCATCACAAATGGGGCGGATTTGATTCCAAGTTTGTACCATCCCACTCGCGAACTTCTTTACAGGGCTGCACGCAGATTTCAATCCAGCTGTAAGGCCTCATGTAATACATGGTAAACTTCTGTTGATTGGCCGCCGACAACTCGGAAACCACGTCACGTCATGTCAGTTATGTGTTACGAATAGTTCCATGTGTATGGCTTAATGTTTGATTTAACAAAATGCGCGATAAAAACAAAGATGCGGCGGTGACGAAAATGCGCGAAGAGCTTGAGAAAGGCCCTGAAATTCAAACAAAACCCTTTTCACATTGATGCAGTTAAGATATCTGGTATATATATATATATATATATATATATATATATATATATATATATATCTCTCTCTCTCTCTCTCTCTCTCTCTCTCTCTCTCTCTCTCTCTCTCTCTCCCTCTTTCTCTGGTGTATAGATATCGCTCCAGGAGGTCATATCGGTCGGCGGCAGGCATTTCCAGGACGAAGCCGCACGATAGGAAAACGTCGACGCGACAAAGACGGCCGAAAAGCGGGCAGCTCCAGAGCTCCAGCCACCGCCGACCTCGTGATGCGTTCACTCCCAGCTGTCCGAGGGGTGAACAGCGAGCGTACTGCCACCGGGGCACCGGAGTCATTAGGGGAGGGGGTCATTCAGGGTTATGAAGATGGCAATGCGGTCGCGGTGCGTAAAGAGGTCGCTCATGCCGCGTCAGCCCAGTGACCTCATGACCGGTGAAATGTATTAAATGAAACGTCGACCCCGCGCCCCCGAGACGATCCAAGCCGTCAATTTTACGTTTTTTTTCACCCGGCCGAGGTAGCAGGCGGCAGTTCCGCCCCAGACTGAGAGCTAGGACATGATGTGAGGAAAACATGGGCAGACTTAAGGAGCTCTCAACAACGCAGAACGAATGTGGACAGACTACGACCTGCAAGTCGCTGAACACTGGCCCCAAACGCAGAGGAGGCTGTGAACCATCGATAGTAACATCTCAGCCTGGAGCCATCAGGACTGCGATCACACAACTCACGCTGAGGCAAGGCGGCAGCCGCACCCCTTATACTCCTGTGAAACCAGGGTCCCAAACTCTGCAATGGAAACCATCAGGACAGGCGCGGCCAGCGGAGCGGAGGTTTTCATCACGGGAATCTCATTATCTCTTCTGATACACCCTTCCAGTTCAAACGGATCCAATTTCAAATCAGGCAGAGCTGCACCGTGACCACGGACAGGAGCCCAGGCCGGTCCCTGAAGGTAATGGGCCTCAACCGGACTGAGCCAGTGCTCTCCTGCGGTCGGCTTTACTGCGGCAGCTCGAGCGTGAGCAGCCGATCTGTCCCTCCTGTCGCAGGAGAGCACCGCGAGGGTATTTTGTCCAGGGAAGCACTGCAACCGTCGGATTGTGTGGCATAGGAGTTCAGCTGCGGCAACATCGCAACGCGCACCGATGTCCAGCCTGTGCCTGCTCATGGCCACAATGCGTGGTGTAGGGTCTCGACTGCCCAGCACTCAATCCGTTCGATGAGGAGTATGGCCGGACCGGGCAGCGGGCCGTATGGCTGTACCTCGGAGGGGTACGTGACCAACTGACTGGTCAGCGGGCCAAGCAACAATTCAGAAGGACAGCACGTCCTGTATCGTAACAGAAGCTCTTGAGGTATGATCTGGGAACGGAGTGGAGCTTTTACTTATTATATGCCTCCTGTTTGCACTTTTTTAAGTTGAACGTCTGGTGATGTGGACTGTGACATTTTTAGATAGTATGAACTGTATTGTTCCAGCAAATAATTTGCAAGCGGTAATTTCGCTGGAGCGTGTTCCACTTTTAAATGAGAGTATGAATAAAAATACCGAAGACGCAAATAAGACCCATTTTTTTATCATGAAGCCAAATACAGAAATCTCAGATTGTTTAGTTACCGTGTGCCTTTCTTCATTATCCGTATCACCGATGCTACTGCTAGTGGTGAAAACTGGATATCAGACTAGGCTGCAGGACATTCTGATTGTCAACATCCAATCCAGAGTGCAAACGTTTTGTTTTTGGAAATGTTCGCTTCTTAAATGTTCTTGATGCTTTCAGTTCCTTAAGCATTTTCTTTCTTCTCGGCAAGTCATGATCATGCGCATTGCTTTGGTTGCTTAAGCTCATCAACTCACGTTGAGGTCTACAGTCCGTCTGTTGTTTATATTTTTCCGTTTATTTCCCTAACAATGACTGCCTTCATAAAGTAGTTCTGCTTCAATATCATCCTTGCCTGCATCCAGTGTCTCAAAAAGTAAAAAGTTTGATTCCTGTGTCGCGCCCAAACTACGGCCACCGAGGGGGCGTCAGTTTCATGCTGGCACTAGTGGTTAGGAAATAGGGATTTAGGCGAATGACGAGACGACGAGAGCACCAATCTTGCCTTTCAAAACGCTCTTGTAACATCAGGTGTGTGCGAGGTCCCAAAAAGTGAGAGGGCTAAGCCCATTTTTTCAGGTTGAATTTCCTTGCATCACCATCTGACTCATGCTGAACCGCCAGGAAAGTGCTTTAGAATTTCCTGCAGGGGCGCAGCCAGGGAGGGGATGTGGTGACAAATTTCTTTTCATTTTTCCCCATGGACGACTTCCGACAGAAAGAAAAAGGACTTCATGCCTACCCACCGAGCTCCACCCCCCCCCCCCCCCCGTCCCCAAGCTGCGCCCCTGGCTCTCTCGTTCCTTTAAGGGCTTCCACGCTTACGGATACTGCATCAGAACGGCTTATCGGGAATCAGTAGTCACATATGGACACACCACGCGGCCAAACGAGGAACAGTATCCGGAATCGATGCCGGGTCAAAGCATACTAATGACACAGTCATTGTCATTGGATGCTTCACCACTCACTCAGCTACTGGGGCTATGTGGCATCTCCGCGAGGAATCGAACGCATACTAATGACGCACGTGCCCACATCGCCATAACTGTAACACTCGTGAGACAAATCAGTACTGCGTACCAAACGTCACTGATACGCTGCCAACAAACAACAGCGAGGTGTAGCCGTTACACTGTCACTCGTTCACACGAGATCACTGATTTTCACTGCCACCCCGGCAGATGGGCCGGGCGACACGACGCTCGGCCTGACCGCCAGTCGGCATGCGCTGGGCGCGAGCGACAGGCGGCGTGGGTGCAGTGATAGAAGCCGCACGCGGATGTTGAGCTCCATCCAGTGGCAGATCCAGAGAGGAGGGGGGGGGGGGGGGGGCACGGGGCCATATGCCTGATACTTCTCTTGGGTTCCGAAGTGCGCAAAGGCTCCGAAAGGGCCATGACTAGCGAAGCGGGCGCAGTTTTTAATACAAAACGCGACAAAATTAGACTCTTTGGGCATCCATGCGACCAGGAACAGTCGTAAGTGAAAGTGAGGGGCCAGTGAGCATACACAAACAATTCTTCGCTGATTGAGAGGGTGGTGATTGGGAAGGTTTTAAGGTCCACTACACTGTCCAGAGGCCCTACACTGTTGCCGTGGGCTCTGTATGTCCACTTGACGGACCAATACCACCACCAAAGAGCCTTCCACGCTGCCCTTAATTTCTTAATATCGCTTGGGCTCTATACGCTCGCCGGCCGGGATCCTCTTGATCGATCAGGGACCACCACGGACTTTTCCCATTCGTCCGAGAGGCTCTACACGTCATTGCCTGGAGTCCACTATATGTTAGTCTGCCGGGGCACTATGTGCTGCTCAGGGCCCTCCACATCGGTCTCGGGTTCTACACTTGCTCGAATGGCCGTGCGGTGTTGACGGGCCGGAGCTGGCGAGCGGACGTGGCACGGCGTGTGCGGCAGCTCTTCGCGTATTGTACCCTGTGCGGGTCTGTTAGGATACAGGGGATTAAATGCTTGATTGTAATATGCATTCCTACTGATTTGTCGGTGATGCATTCAAATATTCGGTTATGGCGCTATACTAAAGTTATGCGATTCCCAGTCTTGTTCACGCCATAAGTAGTACCAATTCCCGAATTCCTGTATCACCTGGCAACAAAAACGTGCTTCGTGCTCGGAAGATCCAGCCGTCTGTCATCTCCTTGCTTTATCCTGTATCCTCGCAGCGCTTTGCTTGTCCGGGGTAGGCTGCATGCGCCAGATATGAGTGGCTCAGCGCCCCCTGCTGGGGCGTTTTGAGCCTGTTCTGGCGCCCGTCCGAGTCCGTCCGGACGCCAGGCACATACCCCGCAGAGAAGTCCCTGTGCGGTCCAGGTCTCGGCCGTTGAGTCCCTAGGGGCAAGAAGTCGTCCCCACCGTTGTCCATTCTCCCTCATCGCAGAGCTGTAACATGATGATTGCTGGCCGAAAAGGTTCTAATCCAAATAACCAAATAACCAAATCTGGTTCGAAACTTGCATGAAACGTATCACCTTTGTCCAGGGCAAATTGAAGCCCGCTGATGCCAGGAATCGTGCTGCCGGGCGGCGGACACGGATTGCTCGATGGCCATACTCTCCGTGGCCTTGGA